GGCCGGCGGGCAGCCCTGGGCTGGCCCTTACCCGGCTCCTTCATGCGGGTGATGGTAGGTTCATCTCCACCACGAGATGGCAATAGTTGCGCTTTCCTCGCTGCCCACCTTTATCCGCAATCTTGGGCCTTGTTCATCACGTTGGTGCCTCGCTCGGGGTTTAGGCCTATGTGTGTACCGGCCCTTTCGCTCCCTTTAAAGCCCTTCTTCTCCTGTGAGAACCCCTCCCTCTCTGAGGAAGGGTTATAGAGAGAGAGTGTGATGAGCATTTGGTGAAGCTGCTCTCAGGTTGCTGCACCAAGAGTTCTTTACCACCTCTGATGCCCAACAGGTTGGTGTCTCTGAGGGTTACCCTGAGGAAAATTACAGCTTCGTTGGTGTCTGACACTTTGTGCTGTGTTACCAGGTGAGATCCCAAAGTCATATGAACAGAAGCTGAAGTATGTCACTGCGTATATATATGCACTCAGGCAAATATGAGGGCCTTGTATGTGTTGCTTCTGACAGCAGCGTGGTTACTGCCATGGTCAGCTCAGGAGGCTTTGTTCCATTGTGGTTAACTAGCCTTGCAGAAGTCCTAAGGCTACCCAAGCATAAGGCTTTTGCATTGGTGTTTTGAGGGTTTTAAGAAATGCATTTTCTCTGAGAGCAGTTTCAGGTTGGAACCCCAAGTCCAATGTGTAGTAAGTTTTGGAGAAATATGTTTTTTTCAGGGGAAGGAGAGCAGTTTTTCTTTATGATCACATTTCACAACAGCAAAACTAGTTTTGGTTGCTTGGTAGCTGGGGTAACCAGTTTATGCTTTAAAATGTGCTATGTGGGACTTACTTAAAAATAAACTCTTCAAAAAATCTGGCTACTAGATCAGTTTAAAAGCTCATTTTGATTTGGCCAAATATCTTGCTGTGGTTGCTTGCTACTAATATTAGACCCCATCAGGGTTACTCATACAAGTGCTCCTGTTACGTATAGGTATTTTAAGCATCATCATATAGTCATTACACGTGACATGGAAGTTCAGAAAGTGAGTTCTGTTGAGCCTGGTTAGGGCGCAGAAGGTATCTGCTTTACCTGTGACTTGGGTAACTGCACGACACAATGGACAAGTTGTAAATGGTTCACAATGAGCAAGGAGTCACCTGGACACCAATCTCTGCTCTCAGACCAAGATCTGCAACTTAGTTTCTTGTAGATTTGATAGTTCTGTGTTTGAGGACCTAAAGTTCTCTTTGTACGAAATCTGAGCGATGTGGAAGTGTGAAATGTGTTATTTATTCCATGTTTATTTTTGCCTGTTTAGATCTGTGTGATAATGCAGAAAAGCTGTTAAAAGTGGTCCAAAACGTAAGTTGAGTGGAATGATAATTAGGAGTGAGTTTTACCAGATGTTGTAAACTTGGGATCTTATTTTAGTAACAAAGCCAGCACAATTATGGATAATTTAAAGTTCTCTAGTTAAAGTGAGACTTCCACATTTAACAGTAATTTAGAACACCTACACTGAAAATTTTTCAGGCACCTGTCTCGCTCTCTTATGTAAGTAACTAGTGACTGTGGTGGGCAATGGGGGGTTGAGAAACCTGAAAAGGGATTGGAATAGGGAAAATTGTGGCTTTGGGAAGGGCCCTGTGGGCAGAGGGGCAGAGTGGGAGCACAGCACAATGAAAGGATAGGTGTATTTTTTAATTAAAACCAGCTTGTGTACATGCATTGTTAAACAAAACACCTTTGAAGTTTCTGGTCCAGGATTCTGTCTATACAGACTATAATCCTTAAATACCACTGTTGGGTCTTACCGTGCTCTTAATGTCTCAGTGGGATTCTGTCTTTGTAAATCACAGTGCTCCGATATTTATGCAGTTTGTCAGGTACAGCTGAATATTACTGCCTGGGCCCATGTCTCATTGTGAACCTCTCTCTTTCAGGCTACCTGATCACTCTCCAAAATCGGGAGTCAGCTAGGTAAGGTAAGCAGGGCAACGTACTTCGGAGCCGAAGCTTTCTTGCCAAAAAGACTGGCGTGAATTAAAACTGAGTACCAGCAAATTCTTTACATTTTAGAATAGTAATACAATTTTGTTGGCGTTTTCTCCATAAACATAGTTACTGCTTCAAAGGTTTACAATTGTCATTGAGTCTTATCTTGTCAGATGAGAATCAGCAGCTGTTACAAAGATGCCGGGTTCTAGGGCCTAATGACTCCCACCAACATCCATGAACTCTGAATCATCTGGTTGTTAGTGGCTCTCAGAGGCTAAAGAAACATTTCAGTTGAACTGCTGAACACAGGCTTGGAGGGTGCTGATACAAAGCAGTGGGGGTGGAAACCTGGACTTCCACGGCTGCTGATCTTACTGTATGGATCCATGGGGATTCTTTCACTGGTCATCACACAGCATGCATGCTTCCTTCCTGCTGGTATATACTGCCTTGAGGGAAGCCCTTTTCTCTTGGCCATTTTTTTGACACCGTAGAAATTAGTGTAATAAAATTAAACACGCCCTTTTGGAAGGGCAGGGTGATACGTAACAAACTGATTTTTCCTTTGACATTCATTCTCTGATTTCATTTGTTCACACCCATGTGTTGACAAGCCCACACGGGCTGGCCAGGCTCCAGTTTGTGATACAAAGGACAAGGAACGCTGCCTCTAAAATCTTTGTCATGTTTCTTGACTGATGATGGCAAACTGATACTGGGTGCGACTAACACACCCTTCTGGAGTTGGTGTCATTGGGTATCTTTCTTGGTCTCTTCCCCTTTTAGGCAAAAGTCCCCAAGTTTTATCTTTTTTTCTTTTTTAAATTGGGGTTATTTTATGTCTCCAGGCCATCTTTGTCATCTTATCTTTAGGACAGTCTTATTTCTTCCTTGCTATTTGGTCATTTAATGAGATCAGTGTTCTGTAGCAATTAGCACATGATTTTCCTTTAGCCCTTCTAGCTTGCTCTGATGCATTCATGCATGCTACATTCAGGCCAAGATCAATAGATTTGTTACAAACCTTTACAGTACCAGTCACCCATTAGTGCTGATGAAGGGAACTCAGGAAAATTGTCTTGGAGCTGAAAGACTTGGCAAGAGTTTCTGAAATTATTTTTCAGCACAGCTGAATATCCAGTCCAGTCTTTGTATTTTGGAATACACTATTTGGGTTTAAAACTACCTGCCTTTTCCCAATCAAAAAGTTTTTCTTTTCTGGTTAATTATTGGCAAATGTTATTACATATGTACTTTGCAATAAGTCAGTTGCAATCTAAATATATTAGAAAAAACAAAGCATTTATTTTCCTTGAAGGTTTGTGTTCTTAGGCAGAAAATAGACCTGTTTTTTCCAAGACTCTAGGAGGACAGCAGCTCCTTCCCCTCCTAGTCTAATCTGTTTTATCTGCTGGCGAGACACTGTGTATTTATGTACTGAGCAACTGGAGTACATCAGTTTCCATTCTTATCAAACACAAATATTTACCACAGGCCTGATCCAAGGTCTACTGAGATCCATAGTACTCTTAAAAATTTAACTTAACTAGAGCACAACTCCTAATTTTTTTTTTCAATTTTAGTTGGGCTATAGGAAATTTTCTTAGCAACTAAGTATTTTTTTTAATAAATGAAAACCTCAACACATTACTTCTTTGCTTTCCTTACCAACTCAGTTGTACAGATTCCCTAATATGCTTTCTCAGCTGTAGTTCCTGTCAGTGAGGAAACTGTGAAATGTTTCGACATTAATTGTCAGTGAGGAATTGAAACACAGAAGTCAATGAGCAATTAACATTATTAAACTTTAATGGACACATTCCATATAAAAAAATCACATGTGGTACGGTGTAGCAATTGACAGTTTTCTGTTTATTTCTGGGCATCTCCAAGGGCAATGTCATACTCAAAGAATGCAAGAAAAGAGGCAGTGCAGGTAGCCAGCTAAAGGAGGTTCAAGCAAGAGGAGCTATTTCTGTGCTAAATGACACAGGGAATTTGGAGCGTCACGAGCTGTTGAGAGCCTTGCCCTTTGCAAGCCACGGGCTCAAGATCAGGAGCATTGATTTTGCCTCTTCCTCTCCAATTTCCTGTGTAACTTAAACCATCATCAACTGACATACCCTCTTCCCAGTCCCTTTCCCATCCCTGCCAACAACCGTTTGGGCAGTGATAGGGATTGAAGTGATAACCTGGGTTAAAACTACTCTCTTCCATTGAGGCGAGGCATCCACTCCCTGATTTAGCATTCGTAGTTCCCCACATTGCCACAAGAAAAGGCGTACAAGTGTTAAGAGTGGGAAAAACGCGACCACTGCTAGGGATTTTCACAGGATGTCATCTGTCAGGTGTTTCGGATAATGTTCTGCAGCGCTAATCAGGAGATGACATGAACAAGAACAAAATGACAAAAGCAAAACAACAAAATGATTAGTCTGGGATAAAAATTGTGTGGAAACCCTATGGTTTTTAACTCATAAATATCAGCATATAAATATTTTACTACGTTTCCAGTAATTAAATTAAACAGCACTGTGCATTGCCGTTGATCCCTTAGCCACCTCTTGAACTTACTACGTGAATGATTGCTTTCAAAGTCCAGTAACCGTCTAGGGTGTCTTAACGTGCAGCTTTGCAGGCAGGACCAGTCCATTATCTCCCAGCAGCTCATGTTAAATCGTTTCAGGCAATAGCAGTGATGTAAGTCTCCTTGGGGCAAGAGGTGAGTGAGTCCCTGTTACGCCTCCAGTAGAATTTAGGAGTGCAGCAAAGCACCATAGACATGAGCAACCCCAAAGTAAGCATGAGACAAATTACCCATTTTACCAGCCCAGAGTGTATAAATGGGAGGATGAGGATAGTGAGAATCACCACAAGCAGCAGGAACAGCGCAAGTCTCTGCACAGCCAGTCTGTTGTCTGCTGGAACATTTTCGTCTCTGTATAAAGCGTCTTGGCTGGTCTGGGTCCAGCTATTGCTGTCCAGCCCTACAGCAGAGACGTGTACCTCAGGATTTGAATCGGGGTTTTCCAAGTGCTCCATGATGTCTTCTTTATTTTGAAGTGTGCGGATGAGTCCTCCTGACACGAAAGTGGCTTTTCTGCACAGGGGGCAGGTGATTATCCAGGTGTTCTCCTCTTTCCTGAGGATAAGCTTGAGGCAGACGGCGCAGAAGGCGTGCTGGCAGTCCAGGAGCTTTGGTACTCTGTAGATGTTGTACTTGTTGAAGCAGACGAGGCAGTCCATATCAATAGATGTTGTGCTTGAACACTGGTGGTTCATTTCAAAACTGTATGCTTCGGCAAAGTGTGAGTTTGTTAGCATAACGAGAGGCTTTGAGTTTGGACAGTCTTTTTCCAAAATTGCTGGTTTAAAGGCATCAGGGCTGCCTCGCTCTGTGACCAAAGGTGTCTCCATTTCTTTAACATGTTCTTCAGTGAGTTCCAGCCTCTTCCCATCTGCAGGGTTTTCTGTTAGGGGTCCTGCTCCCCTCATTTCTGCAGCACCTTCTGCAGCAGGCGCAGGACTGTCCTTTTCAGCCTCTGCTACTCCAGGAGCTGTCGATTCGTGCTTGTCAGTGGATTTCTCCATGGAGATAAACCTCGGTGCAGTTTGTCTTCCTGAAGGATTTGCTGAGTTCCTGGCTCCTTTTATGTGTTGCTTTATTCCTGTTGTATGCATGATTGATTAGTGACAGCTTTAAGCGTGTTGTGCTCTCACAATACGATGTTTTTATGAGACGGGGACCTGCGTTAATGATTAACTTTTGTGGCCAAGACATTTTACAACGGCTGGTGATACCACTGAGCAATTCCAGTCCGGAAGCAGACCCCGTGGCATTAGCAGACTGCAGCTTTGTTTACTGTGATAGCCAGACACTACCATTATTACTAAATTAGTACTTCATTTGTTAAAAGCCATTTCACTGGTCTCTAAACACGGCTTTGCTGGACAGTGACAGATTCGCAGGAATTATCTAATACTAACATCAGGGTACTGAATGCAGTGCTTTGATTAGAGAGAGCGTGAGTTATCACCGATTGTGAGTGCTCTGGGTGGGAAGCCTGCTCTTGCTTGAGCAATACTCACTACCCTAGAGCACAAAATAAAGAATGAGCTTGAGATTATTAACGTGGAGCACTGAACGTCTTATTATCAACTCTTTTTATCCTAGGAGCATCCCTGTGGTTTCAGTCATCAGAGGGCTTCAGGTGTGAATTGAAGCACGGTTTAGGGTCACACAGGGTCTCACAGAGCCTGTGAGAGAGATCTAGAGATGAAAAACAAGGGGTTAGTGTCTCGCTAGGACTGTCGTCTTTTTCTTGGCATTCACA